TGTGTGTATGTATAATATATGCAAAAGTGGAGTCCAAGTCATGTGATCATCAATTGCTAAGACACATGCATTTGTTTCATTGTTGGTATGATTTTCTTATTCTAGTACATAGATTTCATTTTAAGTACTGTATCTGTGTTTCTAGTTATCATAGAAAACCCACAAATCTGCAAACATAATGCTTACAAATCTAACTTAGGTAAACTTTCTCCAAGAACTTTGTTTTTCTGCTCATTATCCAGTGATGATTCTAACACTGTGCCCACATTAGCCTCACTCTCTCTGATTCACATTTATATACATAAATATTATAAATGTATATTACATATGTAAGGCTTATATATAAGAATCTCTTTTATCCAAAACAATAAAGGTCTATATTTCATAGGTTAACTTTTAAAAAGTGGTTAAATAGATGTGTATTTTTCTATCTTAAATTCCATCTGCACACTGTGGACTAATACTCATTGACCTCATGGGTGAGCATGGATTTCTGCATGTAAAGTACTTAAAATAGTGCCAGGCTTACAACTGAGATGGAAAAAGGCACAAGATGATGTAAAAATAAACTATTATATTATTCACTAAAACAAAAACAAAAAGTGCCAGGCACTAAGGTGAAGTGTTGAGTCAGGAATACTCTGGCATGTCCATGGGGACACACTGAGAGGCAAGTCGTGGAGCAGGTTTACAAGGCAAGACACTGCTGCCCAGTGAGCAGCCCACTTGCTATTTATGAGCAGCAATAAACAAGTATGATTGATGATGTGACAATGGCAGGAGGAGCAGGGTCGGGGGGAGATAAAAGGTAATCAACTTTATGGGGGACAGGCGGAGACATGTCAACCACCTATGCAGGGAGAACTTCCTGTGCAGATGTTTGTTGTCTTTTCTGGGCTACTCCTCAGACTACTTCAGACTATTGACCACGCAATCAGTCAGCAGCTACCTAGGTGCCCCACTGCCTAGTGATGGGGGCCACGGTCTTAAGGCAGTTGCACAGGAATGCCCTCTCCAAATCCTTCACACACTGGGTGCATAGGGAGGCCATAGACTCAAGGATGCAGAGGCCCCAAGTGGTAGAGAGGCCACAGCGAAGCCCGAACAAAGTGTGAATAGTAGGGTGTACATACGTCATATACCTTTCATACAAATATATTACTATACATAGATTATCATCATCACTGGAATTATGTTTTCTGTTTTGTCTTCACTCTGCTAACACAGTGGAGGTATATACATTCTACCCCTCTGGTGAATAATAGTAAACAAGTGAGTGACGTTTAAGTGATATGCAAAGACTAGTAAATCTTCCATGATCTCACTTCAGTTCATTTTCTATATCCATGTTCATTCTACACTCTAGCAGTAGAATTGACTGATTCTTATAATTTAATTATAAGAAAATTAAATTGTTCATGTTGAATATCTATTGTAGTAAGAAAAATTTAATCCATAGATATTCCATTAAAAAAAATTGACAATAGGCCCTCCCTGGTGGTGCAGCGGGTTAAAGCACAGCACTAAGTAGCTAAAGCCATTTCCGCATGAGTTCAATTGCCGCCTGCCCCGGAGGTGACCCACATGGCGCGGCAGAACTCTCCTGACCCGCCTGCTGCTCCCTCAGCAGTGTACTGCGTCAATCTGCCTGTTCTGCTCCCCACTCTGTCTCTGGTGAAGACTCTCGCTGCCCCTGAGCCTCTGGCCTGTACCCTAGTTCTTATGCACAAATAAATCTTTAAAAAAAAAATGACAATAAAAAACAACAATGTATCTGCAGTTTAAGGACTTAAATTAGTGTTCTGCTAAGTGCATAGATACAAAATAATTAACTAATTTAGTAAAACTATACTCCAGTATTCAATTCACAATCACATTATGAGCAGCTGTTACTTATATTTCTGAAGTGTTGGAGCTAGCTCTCCTGGTTTAAGGGCAAGTGGACACACGAACTGTACTTCATATATTAACAACGGAGTGTAGCTAACCTTTCTGGATGAGCTTCAGATAGAAGACAAAACAAAACAACCAGTTCTATGAATAACATCAGTGCTCCCTTAGTATCTTAGCTATTCCATAGTGGAAGCTTCCGTCCATTGACTGATTTTCTGCTTATTCACAAACTCACAATTCAACAGTTGACTTATTTATAAAAAACAAAAGTTCTTGGGCACTCCCTGGTGGCAGAGCGGGTTAAATCACAGAACAAAGAAGCTTAAGCCACTTCCGCATGAGTTTGATCCACGCCTGCCCCGGAGGTGATCCATACGCTGTGGCAGACCTCTCCTTACCCGCCCGCTGCTCCCCTCAGCAGTGTACTTCGTCCATCTGCCTGTTCTGCTCCCCACTCTGTCTCTGGTGAATCCTCTCACCCTCTGCATCTCTGGCCTGTACCCCAGTTCTGTACAAATAATTAAATCTTAAAAAAAAAAAAAAAAGTTCTTTTATCACTACCTTGACCTCCAAATCTATATAGCTAAAAGTGAATTTTAAAACTTTCCTTTTAAATACTTTTTATTCCTATTTCTACACAGCACCCTGTTTCTCAATCATTTAATCCTGAAACCACAGAGATTTCCATGAGATTGAGAGACAGAGAATGGAGAGGAATGAGTTCACTCCCCACTTTTGCAGCAATGTAGGTTACTTACATTGCATGATAGCACACAGTTTGCTCCTCAGACTTCTCTTCTGCAAAGTCAGGATGATAATAATACCATATTATAAGTAAGGATTAAATTGAGATAATATAGTTAACGTGCTGAGAAGCATGCCAGCACTTGCTCAGCCGCAGTAAATGTTTGCTGTTACTATGATCTTTCCACTTTACCAAATAGTACTCCTATCTACTCCAGTCTTTCCATCCTCAAAGCCATTTCCCCATCCCACTCTCTTGCACCCATCTTCTTTCTTGTCCCAGTCATGACTTAGTCATTTACTTAAATATTTACTCCTTGGGTGTTCAGTTTAAATAATAATAAAAAAAAATACTAGGAATGGTTTAAGTCTACAATAGAGATCAAAACAGACATAATCCTTGCTCCCATGAAATTCATGATCCAGTGCAGGGGTCAGTAAACCTCAGCCTGAGGCCCAAATCCCTGACAATGTAACTGGTACAGATTTCATGGACTCCCTCCCACACACACACTCTAGATACTGGAACTCCAAATCCCATCAATACCAAGGAGAAGCACACTGGGACGTGAGGGTGGAGCTGAGCAGCCAGGTTAGGATAAAACCGGACATGTGGGCTCTGGGGGTCTCTTGACCTGGTTGATCATGGCTGCTCATTTGGCTCTCGATCCGTTTTCAGCATGCTAATGGAGTCCAAGTCAGCAGAACTGACTTAGGATATTCTAATTAACTTGTATTTCTCTCCCTCTTTCCCTGGGTTGTTTCCTTTACCTTTCTCCTTGTAAATAAATCCATTATTGAACCTTTTTGTGTGTATCCACAGTACGATTGAATCTTAAGCGCACTGGTGAGGACCCACAGATAGGCAACCCAATTCACATTGGGGTGCCGTGTAACAACACCACCTGTTTTTGTAATGCACAGTTTATCTGAAAACAGCCAGGACCACTTGCAGGTGGGTTGTCTGTGGTTGCTTTCAAAATTAGCAAAGTTGTTATAACAGCATCTCTATATGTCACAGAGCAAACTTAATGCTGCCGAACTTTGCCAAACCCTTTCTAGTAGCAAAAATGTAGTAAGATCCAACTACAATTAAATTCACATGGCTAGAAAATTTATTGCTGCACTGTGGAGTCAACCTGTATGTATCAAACTTCTTAAATGTGCGTTATCATTCATGTCACTCCCTGTACAACTGTCACTTAATAGTTGAACTAGCTCAGTTTGTTTTTCAAAACTCTTGAGCACTAGTCTCCTTTTCCAGCCTAATCATCCACTGATCCTCCAAGGATTTGGTCAAGTAGGCAAATCTCACTTCGGAAACCTTCCCTGAACTCACTAAAATTGCATAGGTGTCTTTCCTGTACACTCAGGTAGTGTTCATTTTAGCACTTGTATTCAAATTGTCTGTCTACTAATCTGATCCTCCCAGGAACAAAAAAATCCATGAGACCAAGAAGCCAGCTTCATGTGTAGAATACTCAATGTTCTGCAAGGTGGCAGACACCTAGCATATTAAATATAGTAGATATTCTTAAGGTGAGTGTTACCTACCTCTTTTTGGCTTTCCTGCTTAATTTTCTCACTCTGTGACACCCTACCTTCCACACAAACCCATCCAAAACCGCCTCTTCCTCAGGACAAAGTGGTATATAAATAGTAAAGTACATAAGTAGTAGTAAAACATGCTAGATTATTTGTAAAGGTTAGAAAAATATCACCATCCAAAGTGGAGAATAATAAAAGCTTGAGGTGTTCTTATCTACATTTCACCAGGTACTAAAAGAATTGGAACAGAGACAAAAACAAAAATCTGAAATTGTACAAAATTATTCTGATGAAAATATGTCTTAAATATAAACACAAGAAAGTAGTCTATGATACTTGACAGTAATTTTAAAGGCTTTGCTCATGAAACTAATTGATTCAGATCTATAAATACTGACAGGAACTATAGGCAGATTTATTTAAGATACTATTTTTCAAATTAATTCATAGCATCTGTGTTATATCATACTAAGTGCTGTTTTAACTATATTTAATATAAAAATAAATAGGGTGCCCCCAGTGCCTCCACCCCCGCAGTAGAGGTTCTTCCCGTGTGATCCAGGACGGGGAAGATCCTGCTGTGCCGGGTTGAAGTATTTTATTTTGCAAAGAGTGCTAAAATAGCTGGAATTTCTTCAGAGACCATATCAGTGCCACAAGAAATAAAAGTATTGCAACTGGGAAATGAAATAGATTCAAGGTATTCTGGGTTTACAGGTTTACAGTTGCAGGCAATTAAGAGTTGGGTTAACTTCAATTAGTCACTGTATTAGCTGATGTCAAAAAACAGGTGATACTTGCTGTTCCTCGAGAATATGTCGAGCTTGGAGATCAACCCCTCTTGCTTCAAACAGGAAACGAAATTTCCATTATCCCCCCAACTAGTGGAGGATAGTAGTGCTTTTGAGCCACTTGGGAAAGTTGTGAATGAAGCTGAAGAGAAATCTAAAGATATAGTAAAATTCACTACTAAGAAACTTCCAGTAGATGACGTCTCAAAACTGGTGATTTCTCCACTCTGTGGTCCTAGATCCCTATTTGTAGGGACTACAGGAAATAAATTTGAAGGGAAAAAAGTCATTAGCCTCAAATATGAAGCATATCTACCAATGGCAGACAATGAAATCAGAAATTTTTGTAGTAACATGAGGCAGAAACGGCAGGTCACACTCATAGCAATGTTCCACAGACTGGGCTTAGTTCCAGTGTCAGAAGCAAGTTTAATCATTGCTTTGTCCTCAGTACACAGAGGAAGCAAGTTTAATCATTGCTTTGTCCTCAGTACACAGAGAGCCTCAAAGCTGACAGCTATGCCATAGATACTTTAAAGGCGAAGGTACCCATATGGAGAAAGAAAATGTATGAAGAATCATCATCATCTCGGGAAAGAAACAAAGAGTGGTTTGGGCAACCAAAACTAACATTTTAATCTGGTAAACTTTTATTTTGGATCATATTTTGATTCCCCCCTCCCCCCTATTTAGGGTGGTTTATTGAAACACTAATAGTATAAAAACAAAAGAGAGAAAAATAGTGGGTGTTGAGCCACAGGGCTCACACAGGAACCACAGGTGGAGGAAAAGCTTGAGGGTAAGACATGAAGAGTAACTTAAATGTAAGGGAGGAGGCCTGTGTAGAAGGTACTATTCCGTGATTAAGTTCTGATTGAAACTTGACTCACCCTAAAGTGAAGCTCATTCCTCATCGACTTGGTCTCAGAAAGGGCCTGCAGCCCCCTCCCCCTCACCTCTGTTCCGGTGATGTGGTTGTTTTCAGGGACACATTAGGGTATGTTGGCAAAATTCAAGGTATAAAAAGTCATTATCCGATAGTCTTGATATATTTTTAGAATTTATGTATTTAAAAAATTAAATACAGTTTAAAAAGTAAAATTAAATAAAATAGTTTATCGTTGTTATCATGTTATAAGGCAGTAAGACTGATTTTGTTCTGAGTTTTTTTTTTTTCCAAGTAGAAAAGTGAACCACTAGATGGTGCAATCATCATTAAAAAGAAAGTAATGACATTAAGACTAATTTTATATAAAAGCTCCTCAGAAGTATTTTAATGCTAGTGAACTTTTTTTTTTACAAAAGTTTATTTTTACATAATTTTGTACATTTTTTTTTCCATCTCAATTGTAATCCCCGCGGGTTTCCCATCACCAAGTCACCGTGTGCCATCACCATAAGCTAGTGAACTTTTTATAAATTGGCCAGACTGTTTTTTATATAAAAGATCTTTACATTGCTATGCTTGCATTAATCTTCAATCATAAAAATCATGCAATTTTGTAGTAATGTGTATTTTGGTTTTGTCCATTTTGAAGACCATTATATAAATTTCCAAATTTTGCCTATCAACTCAGATGCAATAAGCAAGCAAATTTTCTTTCATTATGATTTACCTAAATACCAAATTTAATGAAATGACAATATCTTTACTCTTTCTTGTACCTTTTTCAAATTTCTCCTACAAAGTCTAACGTGCCTTAGTAAACGTGCATCAGTGATGCTAATTATTTTTTTTTATCCCCGCATGCCTCTAGCCTCCCTCAGCTAGGGCCAGGCTCTCTCCTTCCACCTCTAGGGCCCATCGATATAGCCCAGGTTATATAATGCTTTGTGCACAGTGCATACTAACAAAATGTATATTTATAAAATAAATTTTGGTGAAGCATAAATTCGATCAAACTTCTAAATATTAAAGAAAATATAAGATTTTGAAATGAATATGGCTTTATAAACATATGCAGGCTGGACTATGTTCCAAAGCCCAAAACTCATGATGATATTTGAATTTCTCCTAAGGAAATATCACACAAAGATTTAGCTACAAGATTTTTTTTATCACGGTATTATTTGTGGAAATTAAAAGTGAAAAACATGACATTTCATAAGAAAACATAAGATTAAGTATATTTCACCAGCTTGGTGAAGTATATTCCACCTTTAAATGTATTATGGTAGAGAAGTAACAAATACAGAGAGAGGTTTTTAAAGTATTATGTCTTAATTTTGTAAATTATTATAGAGAGTTCTATTTGTACAACTATTGGGGATATATGTCCTACACAATCTTCCCCAATGAAAATATGCAAATCTGAATAAAAACTGAAATGTGTACTTTGAGAGCAGTGCACCTTAAGCGAAAACAATATATTATAGAAACAAGTGAAATGAAAGCAAGACTCTAGAAAGCTAGTATCAGAGTTAAATTTTGCCCGTTATCCCTGTAAAACCTGCAGACTGGGAACTGCAGGTTTTTTGACAGGAACTTTGCAGGAACTTTGACAACTGCAGGGTGGCAATGAGCCTACCTTAAAGGCCAGGACTGCCTAAGGGGGCCTTAGTAGAAGATTTCTCACAGTTCTTAGTTCCTTACAACTACACTCTGTAAGAATAAATGAAAAATAAACCATTTTACACAAGGAGAAAGTAAGGAATTTTGCCTGTGGTGAACTTGAAGGTAGCGGAAGGGAAATATAAAGGAGCAATGGGCTAATAGCCAAGACCCCTGGACAGAAGAAATAAGACAGACATCTGGGAATACTGTTACGCTGGAGAAAGTAGGACAGTGGGATATCAGCACAAGGTTACAGCAAAAGATTAACAGAACAGAATGGAGGTGCAGGACCACGTATCAATGGACATAGCTCATTAGTGGAAAAGAATGTGTTATTCATTGGTTTTAACATTGTAAACTGTAATTGTATCTCTACCTCATATCAAACACATGAAATAATCTTTTTTTAACCCCAGAACAATGATTTCTTAAGTTACAAATATTCAAACTATAAATTACTGAAATTTTAACATAAAAAGAAATCACCTTTTACTAAGGTTTAGATCAATGACAATTGACCCAACAGTACACACATCAAATGGCTGATCCCAAAGTTTATCGTGAGTCAAAGGGATTATATATAGTATCACATATTTACATAAAGTTTGAAATCTTCAAAACTAAAATTCATTTTTAAAAATCAGAGAATGCTCATCTCAAATTTAAGGAATGAAACCAGCTCCCTAAGAGAGGTGGAGGGTGGCCAGGGGGTGGGAACACATGTCACCTTGAAGTTCCTATAACTCTGCTTCTTCAGGGGGTGGGCTCAAAGATTTTAATTTTATCATTAATCACCACCTTGTACATACAGAAGCTATGGATGCTTTTCTGTATAGGATGCTTTCAAATAAAAAAGATATAAAACACTGTAATATTTTTTAAAGATTTATTTTATTTATGTATACAGAACTGGGATTCAGGCCAGAGGTGCAGGAGTGGTGAGAAGATTCACCAGAGACAGAATGGGGAGCAAGAACAGGCAGATAGAGGAAATACACTGCTGAGAATAGCCTGTGGTTCAGGAGAGGTGTGCTACGCCATGTGGATCACCTCTAGGGTAAGGAATCAAACTCGTGCTGCAGTGGCTGCAATAACTTCATAGTGCTGTGCTTTAACCAGTTGTGTCACCAATACTATGTAATTTTGTGTGTGTGCATTTTTCCATCCTATATAATTTTTAATGTTAAAATGTGTTTAGAGGAAATGGAAGCATCTATACTAAATTCTTAAAATAGTCAACTTCACCATGATCAGAGGCTATAAGTGATTTTCATTGTCTTCTTTTTAGTTTCATTTCAATTAATTGAAATTTAGTTTGTGCCTATTGTTTCCATAAAATTATAAAGACTGTTAATGATAACTACAGGAAGAGTGTTCATTGTTCTTACCTCTTCCTCCAGTGGCATATTTTGTATCATGCAGATTGAGTCATCTGCAGGATGTGAGCTACTGTTATTCCTCAGAATCTGTGAATGTTCTTTCAGTCAAAATAATAATAAAGATATTTGTTTTCTTTCTGCTTTATCTTGAGAAATTATACTGTTGGTTTTTCCAACAACCCTGCAGTGCTAGTAATGACATCTAAATCCACATTTTACAAGAAATTAAAAACCACAAATTGAAAACAAGTAACATATCAAGGACATATCCATAAAGTAAATTTACTTCTGTTTCTCACTCTTTTTAAACCTACTTAGGAAAAGTCATCATTTTCTTGGCTCTGCATTAAAACATGAAGCAGTCTGTTGAATTTTCTGTGGCTTTTTGACTAACAGACATTAAACCAACAAATTCTTCCTTCAATTCATTAATTCAAAGGATCTACTTTAAAATAGTAACTACTGCCCTCCACCAGTCAGTTGTCCTAAAAGCCAGCCTGGGCCTCCACACACGGGAATTCACAGAAGGAGCGATCTGCTTCTGCGGTCTTGTGGTGGTTTCTGATGCTGTGCCCCACGCCACATCCTGGAATGGGCTTCCTCAGTTACTGCTGTCTGATCACTGAGTGTTCTTGAGGACTGGAAAGATTTAAAGTAACCCTTTCTCTCACAGACTGTCAGTGTAGAATTGCTAGACTAAGAGGGAGGGGGAAATACAGGTCCCCGAGATAAATCTGAATTCCAGGTAAACCAAATTAATTTTTTACTATAATTGAAATCTGTTTTTGAAATGCAAATATTGCTTGGGCTGTATTTATACTAAATAATTATTCATGATTTATCTGATTATATTTAATGAAGTGTCCTGCATTTTATCTGGCAAGTCTGCTTTTAGTGGGTTCATCAGAGACTGCCCTGCTGCCCTCCTCCCAAGCAAACTCTAAAACCAGACGAGATCTGTCTTTGAGCTGTGCATTTCCCATTACCCCTCAGCATCAACCTTAGTCATAAACTTAATTCCTCTTACTGCCTAGGTTTCCTTGTTACCAGCAATGGGGTCTCTACCCAGATCAAGACAATCTGAATAAGTCAGATTGTCATAGCAAGTATTTGAGAAATCAGCTTAATTTGCCAATCAGTTGGCAAGGAGGTAGGTGATAAATTTGAATCAACATCTCTGATTAAAAAATTATTTCACGTAGCAGAACCCCTTCCTGTTCTATCCGTGTTGCCACAAATGGCATGAGTTTGCCTTTTTTGATCGTTGAGGGGAGAAATCAAATACTGTCCAAAAATTAACAACAAAGAAAAAGAAAGGAAGTTAGGTTATAGAGACCTTAGTAACCAGAGTTGAGGATAAAGGAGTTAAATTTTATTGGCTGGAAAGCAGGTCAAGGGCCAAGAAATGTGGACTTGGCTGGAGTTCAAAGGCTAGTCACAGGGCACTGGGCACATGAAGATGAAGAGACTTTTCTTCAGATAACTAGAGCTCAGAATTTCTATTGTTGCACCTCCTCTCTGTGTTCTCCGTCTCCAGCCTTGGAATTTAGTTCAGAGATGTTTGCTTCTACCTGCTCAGGTTGTGTCAGATCAGGTCTGGATTTCCCCTGTCTTTAAATACAAGTTTCAAAGGGAAATTTTTAGATAAGGCTTTTTTACCTTCCTTTCTTGCTTTCAGGCCTGAGACCAATTCATCATTTAGTTTCAGTTTCATCTTCAGTTTCAGGACACCTTCCTGGTATGATCAAGACCTTTTATATGCCCCTAAGTCAGAGAGCCACAACCTTCCCCGGGGGTTCACTACCATTTGACTCGCCCCTGAAAGGGTTGTGGTTCACCTTTGGCACAGGAGCTGGGCCTGTGTTCATCTGTGTCAGGGAATGCATGTTAAGTTGAATTTCCTTTTTCTAGGCATGAGGCTAGGACATGCAAACTTGTTCTTCCCTCCTTCCTTTTAGTGGTGGTGTAGGGTTTGGGGAGGGACTCCTGTGTTAGACAAAGAAAGTGATTCTCATAAATCTCCTTTCAATTTTCACAGGCTGAACATTTTTGAATTCTTGATGCAAAATTCAGTAATCTCATAATCTGTTAGTAACTCTTTCCTTTAACATTGGATCTTGATGGCTTGACTAATTCATTTTTTTAATTGAAGCATTAATTTTAATCCAAGTAACCACTCCCAATATTGATGGAAATTTATGTCTCCCTGTTGATCATTTGTTATTGTTATTCAAATAAATTTGTGACTATTATGAAAGTATATTTCCTTTTGGTATCCTTGGCAAAAATGTCCAAGAAGCACTGGCTTAAGATAGCCCTATATATTGGGCTTCCCTAGTGGTGCAGAGGTTCAATTCTTAGCACTATGAATTTATTGCCAGCCTCTTGGGCTTGAGTTCCATCCATGACCACGGAAGTGACTCACATAGTGAAGCAGACCTCTCCTGTCTCACTTGCTGCTCCCTTCAGCAGTGAATCTCAGTAGATCCACTTATTCTTCTCAAGTGCTTTACTCATGCCGTCATCTTTCCTACAGCTGTGACTGTCCCATTGAGTGGAAAGGAGAGTACTGCAGTATCCATTTGCGATCTCAAAAATGGGCCTCCACACCACTGTAGCAAGGGGGCAACTGTACCCCTTGTCTCATGGACACACGTGACTCCCTGGGGGCCCTTGCACTCCGCTGTGCACAAGGTGAGGCAGGAGTTCGACTGCACTGACCACAAACAGGGCTAAGTCAGCTTCCTTTGGGGAAAGTAAAATGAAATATACACAATAATAAAAATAGCCCATTCTCGGGATCAAAAACGGGGGGGGGGAAGGGAGGGAAATGCACGGGACTATGGTGGTGGCACAGGGGTGATTTGGTGATGGGAAA